ACACACACACACACACACACACACACACACACACACTTTTTAAATAAAAATTTCACTTGGTCAGAAACCTAGTTTTCATTTACAATCAATTTCAACAGAAAATTTTTGACCTGCCCTACACAACACAGTCCACCCTGTGCAGTGCACAAACCCTTTTTATAATAAAAATCTTCTGTTTAGTACAATAGGCAATAAGTGCCACATGTAGAAAGCATTATAAAGGGAACAATTTTATTGCCCATCTTTAAAAAAAAAGTTGTATATACCATACTGTACTAAAATAATAGCAGTATATAAGCAGAATTCATTTCTCTAGACTGGGTGGGCTTTATCAACTAACAGGTTACAGCTTTTCTTTTCAGACAGGTCAATATTCTTAAAAACAGCTTTATCTTTAAGAAAACAAAAGGGCTAAAAAAAATCCCGTAGAATAGAACACAGTGTCAGAAAATTCAAGAGAACACAAAAGCCCCCTACTTCCATAAAGACTTGCTGCAGCTGATCTCAAGGTGGAGATATATTATTTAACAATCACTAGGAGGCATCTACTGACAAAACAGTACCCACCGAGATGAGCATACAGAATGCTAGTGTGCAAACTGGCAATATTTCGAGAGCCCAATCTGCCCATAGGATGAATAGCAGTGTTCTTGGGAAAAAGAGCAGAGCAACAGAGAAAGCAGTCTCCCATCGCAAAGGCTGCTACAGTCACAGGGTGGGGGAGGAGAGGGAAAGCAGGTGGTTTTGAACTTGAAAGAAAGATTAATGTATTGAAGTAGTTCTCTTCTCCAGGCTGATGGCACGAACAATAATCTGCTGTGCTTGAAATCTGTACAACAGTAGCATTCTTGCTGCTGTGCAGGAGGAATTGAATGATAATGTCTATGGACATAAAAGCGAAAAAGAAAAAAAACCAGTGAGAAACAAGAATTTTTTTCCTACTGTAATTGAAGTATTTTAAAAGACAGTGTTTTGATGTTCTTTATTGCAACCGAAACTGCACAAGAAAGGGGGCTGGCGGAGACTTCTTCTAATACGCATTAGTCTATACAAACACAGTTTTAAAGTAAAATCAGAAAAGGTGCACGAGAGAATTTCACTGAAAATGTAACACTCTAAATATTGGTTTGACTCAAAACAGCAAAGACAAGGACAATTCAGGCAGCTATTCCACCCTTAACTCATCCTGTAGTGCCCAGGTAACTCAGTGCAAGTAGCACAGGGCAGGTCTAGGGCTCAACAAATACTTTGGGTAGAAACAAACTGTATGAAATCACTCACATTAGCAGGTGATTAAATGTTTGTTTCGGACACCTATGAGATGCCTGTGTCAAGCTGTTGTGATGGTATGTCGCTACACAAACATGCACTGAAGTCAAAGTGAATGACAGTAGCACAATCTGGCCCTAAAATAGGAGTCCAAGAGAGGAATCTGAAACTAACCAAAATACAATCTAATCAGCTGGAAAGAGCCAAATCTTCTTTGACAACAGGCTCCAGCCTCAAGCAAGTTTTAATCACAGAGTTATAGACCTCTTGATAAGAAGGCTTATAATAAAAAAAATAGAAACAGACCATAATACAATAATCCATAGTTGTGGTGGCATTTAGTAATAAAAAAATAGAGAGGTAGCGCTTAATAGGGAACAAGCAAACTGTGAAAATCAAAATTGTATATTACCCTTATGTATGTAAGTGATCAATCTCTGAGTGACATCCAGCTGGAAGAATTTATCCACCATGAATCCTCTCTTTTGAATCACTCCATGCGCTGGAGCACGAGCAATCATGTATGTCAATTTTGTGTCATCGCTATCAGCATCTGTTGCATAAAGGTATTCTGTGGTGATAACAACGTGTCCTCCCTTCAGACACTCCAGTCTTGATTTTAATCCTGCCTGTAGCTCTGGGGGCTTATCATTAACTGGTATAATCTTGAAAGAATGAGAAGGGGAGGGAGAGGAGAGATATTTTCATTTATAGTTCAAAGTCCAAAAAGCAGTATTGGCCTAGATTTTATTCTAACAACAACCTTATTTCCTCTAAAAAAAGAAGAACAGGAGTACTTGTGGCACCTTAGAGACTAACAAATTTATTAGAGCATAAGCTTTCGTGGACTACAGCCCACTTCTTCGGATGCATATAGAATGGAACATATATATGCATCCGAATATATGTTCCATTCTATATGCATCCGAAGAAGTGGGCTGTAGTCCACGAAAGCTTATGCTCTAATAAATTTGTTAGTCTCTAAGGTGCCACAAGTACTCCTGTTCTTCTTTTTGCGGATACAGACTAACACGGCTGCTACTCTGAAACTTATTTCCTCTGTCACTCATATGGGGGAGCTCATCTAACAAGCAAGTAATAAACTGTTGCCTCTCAGATATATTCATGTAGCACACTTCACACTCTGGGAAGGTTATTTGATCCATAATGGTTATCAGCTGCTGTTTATTCTAATTGTTATGGTCAAATGTTTAGCATCTGAGTCTCTCTCTGGGATCTGGGATCTATCAGTAACTTTGGACATCGGTGATGCTGGTGGATTTGTTCCCAACCAATTAGATGAAATCCTACAAATTGTGTTCCAATTAGAGTGCAAATAAAAAAATTAAATATTTTCCTTTGAATGTAACTTTACCAGAAACATCTTGATGAGCTATTATGTAAATACCTCATTTCTATCAGCATCCTGAATAGCAAACTCACAGTGCAAGGGGGTTACAAAGACTATTTCATGTTATGGAGCAATTGGTTGAGATGCAATAGTTAAGAGTGAGCCTACACTTCCATTTTAAGACTTATTTTCTACCTCCCTTTCCTTCAACACTTTAGCCTTTTATTGAAGGATGAGGTAGGGACCAGGGAAGAGAATTTAGGGGGGGAGGTGGCAAGAGGTTTGGGTTGCTTTTACGTTTCATCTCAATTCTGAATTCCTGGGTTCCCAACACTTGTTTTTTATTTTAAACTATAATGTTGTCATTAGTTTTATTCACTCTGATGGTATATTCTCTCAGCCTTAACTCCACCTTCATCTATGTCTGGACATCTAGCTTCTCAGATAAAATATTAAACTTTAACATTACTTATGGCATTTTACGTTATATTTCAGACCTACAGCCGTTCAAAAAATGTCCATCAACATTATTCAACAGAAAATGGGGTTTTCAACTGACCAAAGTTTTTCATGAAAGTATCTGCTTTCCACAGAAAAAATTTGATTTTTCGTTGGTGGAGCTGGTGTGGGGGAAGAATGCCCAAAAACCTAAATATTTTAATTTGGCTGTGCTGCCATGGTGACTCATGTGAGTTGCAGTTTGGTTGACTTTTATCCCTATTCTCCTCTGTGGGCAGGGTTCCTTGGCCAAATTACATCTCCCATGGTGCACTCCCCCACCATGGTGGGCCTTCTCTCCAAAAGGGGAATCCATGGTGCATCGTGGGATATGTAGTCCAACCAGGGAGTCTGGCCTATAAAGGAGAATGTGAGCATGAGGCACATGATCTACAAGACCCCATAAGGCTGTGTGACAGCAGTTCCAAACAGAAATAGTTCACTCGTCAGCCACAATTTTTCTGATTTTGAATTTCTGCCAACAAATTGAAATTTTCTGTGAAAAATTCAAACAGCTCTATTCAGAACTCAATACTCCAAAGTTCACTGTTCTATAGATTCCCCAAGGGAGGAATATGGATTACATCATGTAATCTATCTATTTTCTAACTTCACAAATTAAGTAGTGTTTTGTAGAATTACAGTAAAGGAAATCTATCTGCATGAGAACAAAGCATACAACTAACAGTCACCAAAACACTCTATCTTGCACTCCTTACTTAGGCAAGAGTCCCTTTGAAATGCCAACTGGGCTCCTAGTGCAACTGCATTTACGTGTTCAAAGACAGATTTTAAAAGGGCTAAGATAAATTTCTACTGTGGTTTTAAATAGGTAGCAGTGTCTATTACACAGGATTTGAGAAGGTTCAATAGCAAGAGAAAATAGCTACTAGGAAGAGGGGGTAGGGATAGCTCAGTGGTTTGAGCATTGGCCTGCTAAAACCAGGGTTGTAAGTTCAATCCTTGAGGGGGCCACTTGGGGATCTGGGGCAAAATCACTACTTGGTCTTGCTAGTGAAGGCAGGGGGCTGGACTCAATGACCTTTCAAGGTCCCTTCCAGTTCTAGGAGATGGGATATCTCCATAAAAAAAAAAGAGAGAGAAAACCAAAGTGTCTTTTCCTGTTTTGGTCTATAGGTAGGCTCCTGATCCTGCAAAGACTTATGCACATGCTTAGCTAGACACACACGGTGAGCAGTCTTATTAACTTCAATGGATCTACTCGTAGTGTGTATAGTTAAGCATGTGCATAAGTCTTTTCAAGATCAGGGCCTTAGTCATTAATAACTCTGGAGTTGTTTTATAGACATTTCATCCAGAAGTCAAACTCAGCCTAAGCAGAAACCTTTCCGGGAAATCTGGTAAAAAGATTGATGAAAATTAAAAATCTACTTAGTCGAGCTGAAGTAACCAATATGTGATTAATACTTTCCAATTATATTTCAGTACAGTACATTGCTGAATTTGTTATTACCTGCACTCTTAACACTCCATCTGCAGTGTTAAATCCATCTGTTGCTGGAAATATGACTATATCTTCAAGGGTTTCTGAATCATCATGCTGGTACCTTTTAACATAATTATAATGAAAAGTGATATTCATTAAGTAGTGAATATTAGAAACCTATAAATAGAAGTTGGAGGGAAGGACTAAGGTCTAGCGATGCCCACCACTTACAAATGATCCTGTGAGATGCTTCTGTTTAATCTTAGCATATTGGTCTAGAGCCTCAGCCAGCATAAAACAGCATCACTCCATTGGATTCAGTGAAGTTACACTGATTTATGCCAGCTGAGGATCTAGATCATGATAATTATTCAATGGTTCAGAGGTAAGCGACAGAGATGAGTCCATGACATGAATCACAATTGTCTTCACTAGTGAATATAAACAAAGAAAAAATCCCATGTGTGCATAATTGTGAAAATGTCTTGCATGACATGACATGATGTAAAAGACATTTATGTCCTCACCTCTAATAGGTGAAGAACCCAATACCCCTAGTCATGTATATTTTTGGACAGTATTCAATTTAGATAACCCTGTTTTCTAAATGTACTCTAAAATTAATGACAATGATTTTTTCCCCAAACAATTTCTATTGCAGAAACAGAACCATTGTTAATTCTTTTGAAACGGAAACATTATCTGCAATGCAGATTTTAAAAAAAGGTAGAATCCAAATGCATTACCTGACTTTGTAAGACTGCAAATCCTCAAGGGTAAACATATCTCCTTCCTGCATAATGAGTCCATACAGTTCAATGTGCCCATATTGAGGACGTTTCTTCAGCTGGATTCGAAGATCATCCCTGGTGTCCAAGTCTGACACCATTAGATTCTCCCCAGAGATGAAAAAACTGGCACCTTCCTCTGTTGTTAGATGATTGGTGAAAATCTAAAACAGTGATGAGCTCACAAAATGCACTGAGGCACTATAAGGAATAGCAAAGTAATATACACAGGAAAATAATGAGTTTAACATGTCAGCAACTAACAAGTATTTCAAAGGCAGACTTTGGCATAGGAGTGTCTATATTGGATTTCCTACTGATCTGCAACCATTCTCAGTGCAGGTTCAGAGTCTGCCTCCCAGATTTCATCCACACGTCTCACCAGAAAGAAACCCACCTGCATTGCCCCATGTTAACTTTCAGATGGTGCTATCACACCACATGGATGTGGAGAAGGTAGTACTGGTTCTGATTATTGTTGCTGTTCTGTGACGGGGTGGAAACAGCTTTCAATGTTGTACCCACATAGAACCATGACAGCCCATCTCTGCTTTAGTCAGGTAAACACCACCTGTTTTAGTAATCAGATGAGACCTATACTTTTCTTGGAGAAGCATAGTTAGATATTAAAAACCAACTAAGCAAAAAAATATAGGCCATTTACCAGACAGTAGAGTAAGCACCATAACTGAGCAGGAGGATATTGTGATCTACTTTTATTTTCTTGTATAGGAGGGAGGTTTGGGCAGAAGTATCTTTAACCAATCTTTTCTTAACCGCAAAAAAGTGCATCTCAGTTTGATACAAGAGACAAGTGAACACATATGCAGGTGATCTTATTTAACTAGGTGGCTCGCCCAACCCTGCTTGGAATCTGGATCAACACATATAGTCCTTCTGTGCTTTCAAAGCCCCTCAAATACGTTCTAAAACCCTCAGAAGTACTAAACAGAGGCTCCTCTTCCTTTGCAGGCAGACAGGCTCAAAACACCCAAGGATTCCAAACACAAAGAAGCAGGGCTGGCTTCAGCTTTTTTGCCGCCCCAAACGGTGAAGAAAAAAAAATTTAAAAAAAAAGATAAAGCCGTGAATGGCAGCACTTTGGAGGCAGCTCTACCACGCCACTTCATTCTTTGGTGGCAATTCAGTGGCCGGTCCTTCCCTCCGAGAGGGACCGAGGGACCCGCCGCTGAATTGCCGCCAAAGACCTGGACGTGCCGCCCCTTTCCATTGGCCGCCCCAAGCACCTGCTTCCTGAGCTGGTGCCTGGAGCCGGCCCTGCAAAGAAGCCTCCATACACAAACCTACAGTCCAACAATGAAACAAAAACATCAATAACCACCGGGATGTATTCGCTTTGTGTGTACGAGTAGGGGTGCTGTTGCCCTGTAGTGGCTCATCCATGGAGATGATAAAGTGACTTAATACTAATTTCAGCTATAGGAGTTCTCCTTACGCTCAGCGGCGGAGGCCTGTATGTTTGGAACTGAATCACCTAAGTTCTACTCCCAGCTCCCTACACATGTGTAACTGCATCTGCTGTCTGCAGCAGGTGGATGTGTCGTACCACAGAAACTCACAACCAGGTGAACAGCAAACTAACAGCAACCCAGCAAAATAAAAGACAAGGAGACAAAGCCATTCTCAAGGAAGTAGACAGGAAGAGAGCATGTCAGAGAGACAAGGTCAATGGGGAATGTGTGGTCGCAGATAACATCATCATTCATTCCTCGGGAAGGCTTTTGGGCTTGACATTCACATCAGTAGGATTCACAGGTCCCAAGAGTCCCTGTTTTAGAGCTTAACAGTACTGCCAAAATCTACTTGGCATGAGTTACCTTCTCTGAAAAGCTTGTACTAAAAAGGTTGCAAGTCTACTCAATAGCACTATAGCTTGATGAAAGGTAGTTAGCACTAGCAGGTGAATCATAATATTTCTGACCTGGTGCTGTGAATCAAACAGCAGGAGGAAAACCAATTTACCAACATGTTTGTTTCCATCACGTTGCTCATAAAATACTGCCCACTTCAGTGAGTAAAACCATAGATAGATAATGTAAAAGTGTTTAGAGCCTCTCTCTCATCTCCTCAAACTCCAACTAGAATGAAAAGCTTTCTCTGTCTGCCTGCCTGAGAAAAGTTTGCTGCCTCTACATCCCTATAAACAAATACTGGGACAGCACAGGGGCTACAGAAAACCACTGACTATTCACTGAGATATAAGGAAGCTTATGAAGAAAAGTAACTTTCCCTTAGGAGGAGGAGAGCTTTCCCCCTTGCTTCAACAACAGACAAAGCAACTAAGGAAGGGTTAGATGCATTTGCCCAGAGATCTTGGAGTCATAACTTAAGCTGCTAAAAGTTATGTCCTAGTACTCTATCAAAGAGGCTTTTCTAACGGACATGAACCTTTTTCTTTGCACTGTGGCAGTTTTCAGGGCTTATCGATGGCTGAAAGGTGTGACAAAGTCAGTCCTAACACAGATATAAGAGAGTGGTTTTGTTTGTTTTTTAACTGGAAAAAAATCCTTTATTTTAGTCTCTGAAACACAACATTCCTCTTCATTAAGTCAAGTGGAGTAGGTATGAACTGTCGCCTCTTCATTAGAGGAAACCAGAAATGGTAGTCACATCAGGCTTGCCATCAAGCTGCAGCCTTGCTTCATGCTCAGATTCCAGCAGCATCAGGACATCCCCCTCACGGACAGGCCTCTTTACATTCTGGATGATGGATCTACTGGTGTCGTCCATGAATTCAACACGAACCTGCGAGCTCGGCTAGCCCAGCACCTTGGTGACCTGGGCCAGTTTGATGGGCTGCATGCGGCTCGTATCCACGGCAGCTGCTCCGGTTGGTGGAGGGCAGATATATCAGCTCTAGAATGGTGAAGGCCCTGTGACCTATGAATGGAAAAAAGGTTACCTCAGGATAATCAGAGACACCTGAGTCCAGTTAAGGGCTGCCAGTGACCTTTCAAAACCCCTCTTCGGGTGAGAGAAAAGGAGGGGAGAGATATGAGAGAAGCTGCAGCAGAGGCACTGGCAGCAGGAAGGAAAGGCTTGTCCTGGTGGAAGGCTGTCTCTCCTCCCTATAGGGAAAGAAAATTAACAGCTGCTTGGGGTAGGTCTGGCAACTAGGAGCCAGCATAGTAAGGTAACGCCCTGGAGAGGGGGCAGGGGAAAGTATTTCTGTTTGCATTGTGAGGTTGTTTGTTTATTTGTTATTTTTGAGGTGGGGGGGTTGTTTTGCTTAAGATAACACCTTGGGATAACCCTGTGGCCAATCATGTAAATAGGGGGAAATAAATCCAGAGTGAAGACTGATTTATTCCATGCCCCCACTGCCCAAGGGAGAAATGCTGAGGGCGCTAAGGTAAAGGTGGTGTCCTGCCACAAAGGGCATAGTTAAATAAAGGAGACAGAGATCAGAGAATGGCCCCAAGCACAAATGCATATTAGATAACTGTATTAGTTTTAAAGCATAGGGGCCTGAAGTAAAAACTCAAAGAAAAAGCAGCAATGAAAGTGACTAAGCTTTAATTAATTAAACTTAATGTTTATTTTCTTCTGGAAGGACCTCAATTCATAGGAAGAAGTCAGGCAACAATTGTGTGGGGCAAAGGAATGTATCCCCATAAAATAAGCAAAGAAATAATTGATTGACTGGTTTGAATATTTGAAGCACCACGGTCAAAAGTCAGCACACACTTAAATAATCATCCCTTTTACCATAGATTCAAATCCCTCAACTCTACTGTTTACTGTAGAGCTGTACAGTGGAAAGTCATTAGGAAGGCATCATGTCGACAGATAATTAGGATACTTGATAAATACCTCAGGTGCTTCATCATCCACAGGCATCACTGTGATGTTAAAGTTGAGTCCAGCCACTACTCTTCCCTGCTGGTCACTAACAGAAAACTCAAACTGTTCAAACAGCGGGTCAGGACCACTCTCTCTCTCTGGGGGCATGCACACCACTTTTAAATGTGTTACAGCATGCTGTGGGAAACAGACATGACAGTATCACATAGACCTCACAAGTTTAATTTCCTGAGTTATGGATGAAGAACATAATGTGAGATGTGGCACTGGTGAAAACCACTGCAGCCTGACTCACCTGGCATATTCATCCATAAATCAACCTCTTACTGTAATCAAAATGAATGCAACCAAGCAGTTCTTCTGGCAAGACCCTCTTGATGTACATATACAGCAGAGCATTTGCATGTTTTTGAACCATTATTAAGAAGGAAACCACTCAGGATCATTGGGACTTATTGCAGTCATGCTGGGCCAAACTGATCCTTGGTGGGACTCCATTGAAATGAGGGAATTTGACCCCCTGTGTGATCATAGAAACAATGAAAACATCATAATCACAAAGGAGATTTAGGTGTCCAAATCCAACTGGAAGCATATAGGATCTGGGTGCTTATCTTTCCACTTGTGCCTTTGAAAATCTTCCCCTAATGCCTACTTTAATCAAAAGATCTGATTTGGTAAAATGAGTGCCTTTAAAAAATATTATACACTTACCACCTGGAGTGAATTTACCTCAGTATTTCTGAGTACACTGCATATAATATGGTTTAAGTAAATACCACCAAGCTGCAAAACTTTGTTTAGTAGCACCCAATGTACCATTCATTACAGGTGAAATCCAGTCCTCTGCAGTTGGACAGCATCATGACTGGTCACGATTTAAATCCCACTCAAAACAGCACCACATAATTTCTAGTAATATAAAAGATTCCAGTTGTTTACCTGAAAGATGTCAGAAATAGCAGGATCTTTTTTATAACTTTTCATGCTGTCTGTGAAAATTAGCTTCACCACATCATAAATTCTGCAAGAGGGGGAAAATGTTAGATCTTTTCTCAATTGGCTTATAAAGTCTAATTTAGCCCGACAGTTTCATACATACCCAGGAGAAGAGGGAGAGAAACATGATTTAGTAACCAGGTACATAAGCTGATTATCTGGGGACTTGGTGTCTGTAAAGTGGAGGTGATTGTTTGTGATGTGTGCAATCTCAGTTTCTTTGACAACAAGTTGTCTTGTAGTCCCAGGAACTTCCTCTGGCAACTGGTCTTTCACCAGCATAACATGAATCATTTCAGTCTACAAAAGAATTGAAAAATTTGGGGACATAGACCATGAAATCTGATCAGCAGCAGCTAGAGAATTCTGCTCCGCTGCTAACAGTAAAACATGTTTGGAAATGAAAAATACAATTTTCCATTGATCTTGTGCTTTCCAAATACCTTGATATTTCTATTCATTTATTTTATTTGTGCAATCCTTCCAAAGAAAACATGGGAGGGAACTAATAGCTAAATCTTTAATTGTGCGCCTGATCTTTTTAATTCTGGTGCAAATCAGGAGTAACTCCATTGATTTCACTGCAGTAAAACTAATTTTCCACAATGAAGTATAACGTTAGCTTTTAGCAAGACATTTGCTACATAAGTCCCAGCATCCACATAGTTCCTTGCTATGCAATATTATATCTTCTGGGCTTCCTGCCCCCTGCCACAGCATGCTAGATCATTGTCAAAAAACTAGTCATACTTGCTTGAATATCTGAAAGATTAGGAGGTTCTTGACTGTCAGATAAGATGAAATCAAATGAGTCTTGAAAAATCTCTCCTCCAAGATGGTGATAGTAAATGAGGCCATGGAAGACATCTCTTTGCAAGAAGGTTGACACAGGAATACCTTGAAAATACAATAGATACAGCACAAATAGTTTTCAGAAAACAATCCTTGGCTTTTCTCCCCTTCCATTAACTGGTATCCCATCCCACCACAGTAGCATCCTAGTGTGTGGGGCATATACCTAGTATGTTTTTATAGCTGTTCCTTATCCTTAAAAAAAAGCTGACTATCTCAAAAAGTTACTAGTTATTCAATTGTTGAGTAATATGAGTTGACTGTTTCTTTCAGAGACCATCAGCATTCTACCTGGTCCATCTGGAAAGTGTGTCTTGATAATCTCTTCAGCACCAGGTGGCTTGGTTATCTTGCAGAGAATATAATCGTCACTTGAGTCAAAATCAGACGACATCAACATATGCTTTTCTATGAGGACTGTCTTCCCTTCTGGCAGCTGAAAGACAATGTTGCTCATCAGGAATGGTGCACTGTCATCTTTAGGGAGGATGTTAATCGGAAACTTGTGCCTTCCATCAAAGATTCTGAAGATTGCATAGTCCTTGGTTGCATCACTATCACCATGCTGAAAACGAACAACTCCATCTTTGTGATCTTTAACTGTGAATTTGAAGCCTTTGCCTCCTGTTATATAAATGCAGGATGAGAGTTACCATGTGCTGTGTCTATCAACATAAATCACCAACAAAGTTTTCACATCTGTGCAGCCATGACACAAAGCTTCTACTCCACTATGTAAAGGCTTGATCCAAAGCCTCTTGCAGTCAACAAGACCCTTTCCGTTCACTTCAATAGGTTTTAGACTAGGCCCAAAGTAGTAAAATGATAATGTTTTCCAGAGATACACTGTATTGTAATAATACTTACTGACCTTGATTGACAATTTGGAAACCATGAAGATCTGCACACTGCAAACAGACAAGGAAGCATGCATCTAGGAATCACTCGAACTCAAAGAACTGTTTTTTTAACAGCATTAATAGCTCCTCAAATATTTTAAAGCAGGTTCATGATTGTTAAACAGGCCCTTAGTAGAGCAAAATGATACTTCAGCTATTACTGGACAAATCCATTTGCTTATCTGAAGTTTCCCAAAAATGAAGTATTAAAACCATAATAGTGTCCCTCCTCCCCCTGCCACACACACAGAACACTAACAAATTAAATGCTCTGAAGTCACTGTGAACAATAATCTCCCAGGAATCATTTTCCCTTATTCTCTTTTTCTTCATCAACCCCTATGAAATGCTGCCTTGTCTGGTTTGGTCATCCATCTATTTTATATTTTAAACTCCTAGGATGGGGGGAGGATCTTGGATCAGACTGAGGGCCCTTCAAAACAACTGGAAACCCAGCAGATCCAACCCACGCATAGGGGAATCTTTAGGCAGAATACAGCCACTGCAGCAGCTCCTACACCACCTCCCCTCCTAGCTTCCATTGCAAAGGGTATTTCAGAGAGAAAGGGCATATGGCTGAGTATTTTTATTTCCCAGAAATTCCCAGCTGCTGAAACAGCCACCTGGAGTCTGTGGGAAACAGTGTAATAAAAAGCAGCCTGAAAAGTACTGAGGTAACACTCAAGGAGTGAAAGTTGGCAACACTAATATCACAACAACAGAAGCAGCATAAAGGAAGGAGTATGTGTTCAGAGTAGCTCTGGTTGAAAATTTTCAAACAAAACAATAGTGTTAAGCAAGCCAGAGAGACCGCAATGCATCATGGGAGATGTAATATGGCTTGATTAACATCAGTAGGGAACTAAATGTTTCATTTTGGGTCAACAAGCAGAAATGAAATATTTTGATTTGTGAATGTTAAAACATTGTGTTTCAATGGGAAGTTTCATTCTGAACCATAATTTTTCAAAACTTTTCATTGCACAATTTTTTAATATTTTGATTTTTTGATCTAATTGAAGATGAAGATCACGGATGAATCATCAGAATTTCCCCTGGGACAGAAATTCCATGTTTCAATCAGCTCTACTCAAGAGACATTTGTGTCTAGAAATGCACTACGGGCACGTGTTTGAAAAGGTTCTATGAATTTAATGATGGATGTCTGGAAGCAAGTAACTGACACTTCAGGAGAGGCTGCATATGCATTGCTAACATCAGTTCTTCACAGTGAGATTATTGGGGAACCAGTGTTGCAAAATTTGAATTAGATCCAAATCTGAACTCTCTCAAATGTCAGGGATGTTCAGATCAGTAGTTCCAATTCAGGTGCATCTCTAAAATGAGGCCGTGTTTAAGAGTTTCAGAGAGCTGGAGGGATAGGTGAATCAAATAGTAATCCAAATCTTACAGATTCTTACAGTTTCAGGGAACTTTAGCTATTTTATCCAGAACATCTGAAAAAGAAACAAACTATCAAACCTGGCCCAAGGAAGCGGTTGGGGTATGGGAGGATTGGTATTTTGTTCTGGGAAGCTCACTGTGAAAAGCGAAGTTAAGCAACCTGTTCAAAATTGAATAATCAGTTCATCAAGACAGTTCACACGCCTTCATGCCCATCTGTGATACAGTGTACCTCGAACTGTGATCCATCCATGCGGTGGTTCTTCCACCAGCTGAACAGCATTAAGTTGATCATTGCCCACAATCTGAAGGGTATCCCAGGTAACTGGATATGACTGAACTTCCAATAAGTCAAGCCCTATAATGTACACATATCAGCATAACAGTTTAAGGGTAGATCATAAGGATTTGGAAGACTGTTCTTAAAATATTATTCAGCAGGTGGTACAGCAAAATTACTGAGGGCTAAATCCTCCCTCTTGGACCCAGCTTAAACAGCTGGGCTTGGTGAAGGGAGATTCTATGGGATTGTAAAGACAGGAAGGAGTCATTTCCCCAAGTTGCAGTGTAGATCTGCTGAGACTGCAGTAATCACCCTGTGCCTCATGCCCAGAGTGAACAGATGGTGGGTCCACTTCCCCAACATCCCACTGCACAAGGACACAGAAGGAACCTTTTCAGAATCAGGATCTGCAGTGTGCAGGGAGTGCAAAACCCTCTGCATAAGCTCCCATTCTATCCAGTCTGTCTGCTGCATGTCAGAATTGCACACAATTTGCTGCATTTAAGTCCTCCCTGGCACAGAAGGAGAGGGCAAGATTTGCCCTTAGGAACAGGAACACCAATTCAGAAGAAACGCAGTCAGCTCAAACCTTTGCTCAGTCAAACCAAACTTGCAGAATTTGCAAGCTTCAATACATATCTCAAATTTGCGTTCTCAAATCCTGAATTTCCTTATCCTGCCCAGGACAGGATAGAAAAATCAGGTAATAGTACTGGAAAGACTGTTTTTAAAGTGTTCTCAATAAGAAATAAAGGAAAGTACTGAAAATCTTGCAAGAAAGCCTGTCCTCATGAGATTTCCAGCTTACGTTTAGTAAAGCATACTTTATATCATGCCTTAACTGTGTTAACATTAATGTGTCTGTATTGTACCTTTGGCATCTTCTTTAGGCTGAACAGCTTTTGCTAAGAGGAGGAGATCTTTTATTAATATATATGTTTCTGTTGGAAACTTTGTAAGTTTCTGTGTTAATTACCAGGTAAAAAAAGATTCCAACACTAAAACAGGCAAGCGGAGTGATTACATAGTCCAGAAGATTGTCAGATATTAGTGATCTGTTGTACTGCAGCCTGGAGCCTTACAGTTCTGTTTGGGCTGGAGGAGAATTGCTTGTCTGCGGGATGAAATCCACTAAGTAGCAGAGATCCTAGTTTAAAAAAAAAAAAAAGCTTCCTTCTTGCCAGACATGAGGAATTTCAAGGTTCCAGTACGGTAGGTGACTGTAAGGGCATATTATTAGAACTGGTAACTTTAACTACAGAAAGTCAGCTTCACAGAGTAAGTGCAAACTGGAGTGAGGCACATTTATGTTCAGTAAATTCCAGCAGCATCTCATTTTACTTGAAACGTGATTATCTTAACCACAGAATCTTTTGGCTTTTGTCCATCAGGAGTTTGAAGATTTGGCTATATCTAAAATAAGAAAAAACAAACAAACAAACAGCAAAATCAAACCAAATTCTCCTCTTGCTTACAATGGTGTAACTCTACCAGTGGGATTACTCTGGATTTACACCAATGTAAGAGAAGGGATTCTGGATGCTTGTTTTTCTAGCACCGGCCAGATATGTACAAGAAAATAAAATGAAATACAACGTAACAAAACTTAACTGTCTTAAACGACAGATATAAAAAAAAAGAGGAGGCCCAATTTAAAAACAGACGGGGAGAGGGAAGGTCATTACAGAGCTATGAGTAGTTATTCTGTAGACCCACTGAGGAATCTACAGGACCATAGTGCTAGTCTCAACACCAGAGATGTGTCTGTAGCACAGATTGTTTACGGTACACGCCAAAGCCTTGTGAATTCATACATTTAAACAACCTTGGACAAAATTCCTCTTACCCATGTTCCATGCAACCCTTGGAGCACATCTTATTGAAAAATGGACCATGATAGGAGAACTGCTCATGAAGACACTATCAATTGCTCGATACTCAACATAGCAAAACAAACACTCCATGAAAGATTAATGCAACATTTGGCAACTGGTAAGCTTGCTGTGATACAGTAATTCTGACCAAGAGCATGCCAGGTCCATGCCTCCCCTCATAGTTCTGTCTCTCAGAATGAGTGATGTTGGGTGGCTGATAGACAATCTTCATGTCGTATAAATCCTGCCGAGTGAAAGATGTAATGGCCTTGGTGTGGTCCTCCAGATGGGTAATATACCCCTCTAGTGAGCATTTGGTAATGCTGAACACTAATCTGTCTTTTGGGGTTTCTCCAGCTTCAGCATCTAGAGCTGCTGTTGTAAGTGGGGTAAGAATAAACTGATCACTCTCCAAGATGAACATGGATATAAATGCAGCTTGTGCCTGTGTATTTGGGATGGCTCCCTTTATCCCCACAGGAATCCAAACATTTTCTGTCTACAAACAAGAAAACCCAGTTAATCCCTTTGCAAACACTTCTGCAAGAGGAAATATATTTATATCCAGAAATATATATATTGCAAGTAATTTTGGGGACCCATCACTAGATTTAAAACAAACAAAAGGAAGTACTTCTTCACAAAATGCACGATCAACCTCTGGAACTCATTGCCAAGGGATACTGTGAAAGCCAAAACTATAACTGAGTTCACAAAAGAAATAATAAGTTAATGGAGTCTCTCAATGGCTATTAGCTAGGATGGTCAAGGACACAACTCCATGCTGTAGGTGTCCCTAAACCTCCAATTGCCAGAAGCTGGATGATAGGGGATGGATCACTCAATAATTCCCCTGTTCTATTAATTTCCTCTGTCCCAGCCACTGTTGGCAGAGAGGACACTGGGCTAGATGGACCATTGGTCTGATCCAGTATGGCCATTCTTATGTCCTTACCATAGTACCTGGGCTCTATTAAACAAAACGAAACAACTAATATACAATTGACCATTAAATCCCTTTCAAACTTTGCCCCAAACTTTTCACACCTACAACTAACAATACTCAATAACTGAAAAGTAAGAAAAAGAAATCAGAAACGCACAATGCAACAATAATAAATTGGCACAGGCTCTCAAGAATTGCCAGCCAGAGCAAGTTCTAGAGCAAAGGACCTTCAAAAAGAATGCACAGCCACTCACTCTGGCCATGCCCCATAAAGGAGTCAACTTTATCTCCTTATCACATATACTAAAGACTGCTGGAAGATCTAAAAGCAGCAAGGCAGTAGTCCACTGGATAGGGCATTAAGTTGGGAGTCTGGAAGCTTGGATTCTATTTCTACTTCTGTCACAGACCTGTTGTGTGTTCTCAGGCAAATCATCCCCCCTTTTTTTGCTTCTGTTTCCTCTCCTACATTTTGTCATTCTGGGTCATGTATTCTGTAAGCAGTTTGGGAACAGTCTCTTACTATCTGTTTGTATCATGCCTAGCAGAATGGGGCCCTGATCTCAGCTGGAGCCTAGAGTGCTGCTGTAAATACTACTACTAATAATAAATAAATAATAATAATAATGGACAGCTGATCTCTTCCCATGGTCATCAAATAAGTAAGTTCAGACTTGTGTCCTACCTAGGTCTAAAGCAAGACCAACAGGATTCAAGGAAGCTAGAGAAATCAACATATAGTTTCAGTTAGGTCAATTTCCACCTTCTCGATTTTCTTCTTCAAAAGGGGAAATCTCTAGTCAGGGTGGACATGGCAAGATTGTTAATCTCAGAAGAGTGGGTGAAATCCTGGCCCTGTTGAAAACAGTGAAATTTTTGCCACCGAATTCAATGGGGCACGGATTTTACTCATAGCCACTGGCGCATCTATTGCTTGCGTTAGAGTGGTAGGCAACATGGAGAAGGAAGGCAGGCCTATCAATAACAGGCCAAGCATGCTCCATTTGCCTTTTTTTTTAGCCATGCAAAAGTCAAACAAGAGGAGATATGTTTTTACTGCCCAGTCCTATTTTTTTTTAATGAATGGAGATATCCTATCTCCTAGAACTGGAAGGGACCTTGAAAGGTCATCAAGTCCAGCCCCTGCCTTCACTAGCAGGACCAAGTACTGATTTTGCCCCATGTAAATAGGCATGTAAATAACTTTACCTATCTAAGTAGTCCCAAAGACTTCAATGGGACTACTCACATGTAATAAATTAAGCACATCCATAGGTGTTTCAGGATTGGCACCTATGTTTGTACAGTACATAATACAATGGAATCCAGAACCTAACTAGGTCATCTACATGCTACTGTAATTTAGTTATTAAAGATTATTGAAATATGGGGAGATTCCCCCTATACAAAATTCCATTTTTTTGGTAGAAAATAAAAAACTGAAATGTTTCAATTTGGAAATACCTCTTGCAGAGCCTATGGAAATTGTTGTTTGGGTGCCTCCTGCTCCCATTCTCCTGTCCTCCACCTCCCATGATGAACCACTGTGTCCCCTGTTGGAAAGGAGAGGTAATCCATCATGGGACTCACTGGTCAAGAGTTTTGATAGAAAATTTTCCACAAGCCCTAATCTTTAAATAATAATCCGAACCAGATAACCAAATACTGAAGCCTAGAGTATTTCAAAATTAAATTCTTCACACTGGTGAGAAGATTTGATCTGGGTCCTTCTGATCCTGTTATTTCTATCCTTTAGTTCTACTGTTATGCATTTTTGTAGAAAGAGTTAACCATTCACCAGCTTAAAAACACAAGAAAATAAAATGTGTGTTACTCTTATTTATTTTCTGTCAGTCTTCTACAAGAAGGGGAACACAGTTTGCCTTCATCTTTCTTCTATGTTCAGGACTGAATGATTCTTCAAACAACATTTTGTTTTTAAACAATTCTTACATCAATAAAACTACTTGGGATGCTGGCAAGATTCCCTTGTCTCTGGAGAATTCTGCACTTGTTCTATGGCCCAAAGCCCCATTCACATAAACTCTGCTCTACAGATTTACTACTTTTGCATGAGGAAATTTGGAAGATGCAGAGCAAAGTTGGAAAAGCTCCCACAGCACAACTTTATTTTATTGTTAAGAATAATACAGCACATACATTTTTAACAAGATTTTAAATAAAAAGAAGCTCTCTCCGCCCCACTAAAAAAGTACTGTAGATGTATTGAATGTTTTAAAATTCATCACTTGTCCTTGCTCTAGTGTTTTTCAGAAGCTTGGGTACATTTCCACTCCGATGGGATCCTCTGCTACAATCTGGCCAAAAGCAGGAAGCGAGGTCTCAGAAGACGTGATCCTAACGGTGCAGACCATACGTAGCCCATTAGCATTGTACTTGAAAGTCAAGACACTTCTGTCCACATGCTTAGATATGCCAAGAAACTCAGAAATGTCTAGAGAGCTTTTTCCAAACTGAGTAATACTTGATTTTGGATTCCTGATCTCTACATGAAGAACAAAAGTCTCAATTATGGTCTCCAGTTCAGTAAACCCAGATGTGAGAGATTTAATATTGTATTACATCCTATATAAAGAAATGCAATTTGTTTTAGCCATTTATATAGCGACCTACGAATGCATGTATTGTACAACTTTACTTTCGGCAAAATCTATATTGTAAATAGACAGTCCATAGGAAGTGAGGGTGCTCAATGCCTCACAGAATCAAATTCTTAAAAATAATAGTTTGGACTTGCATTATGGTCCAAATGCTCAGCTGCCACAAATCAATAAGTCGATTTACAGTAGCTGAAGATATGACCCCATACATTTTTGGTTCCCTGGGATCATCTCTGTAAATACTAATGAAGGTTCAGAATACCTCCCAGAAACAGATAATATATCCGTTTTATAGTTGGGAGAAGTAAATCACACAACGGTTAAGGGACCTGCATAACCTCACAAAGGCAATCAGTGATATTGCTGAGGATAGAACCCAAGATTCCTGACTCATATCTGTGCTCTACCCCCTAATGACTATCATTGCTGAACTCGGTAATATCCAATCAATACTTTCAATGCTGCTTCCTGGCATGCTGTTCATTGTCTTAGCATTCTCTTAAGATCTATGCAAACATCTGCATCTATGCAATCTATGCAAGTCATTTACAAGACAAGATCTTGTTTCTATCTTCAGTGCACAAGCATTTTAAAATAAAAATGTATATCAAAGAAACGTTCAAATACTCTGACATTGTGCGTGGTCTTTGAGAAAGACTTGTACATCAGAAAAACTTAGGTACATTGCACCAAAGTAAACCCTTGGGAGATCACTGTGAATTTGAATTTCTGCTTTGCTGTTAAAACAAGATGTAATTTAAAGACAAGAAAATCATTGCCTGTTTCCTGGGGGAGATGTGTCTTTGAGGATACTAGCTTATGCTTATGGTTTCACTAACACGATCTTTGCTTCCTATCAGAATTCTACATGGCAAAATTCACCCTTGTGCAGACACCTGGCAATGCATCACTTAAGTCCTACTTAAGACCTCAAATAGAGCTTAAGCGGTGCATGGGCCTTGTACTTGCTCTTTGCACAGGAGTGAATTTCACTCTGTGGTACTATACTCGTCCTCTTCCCAACTTATATTAAACTGGTAGGTTACCTTTGAATTCATATTTAAGAGGAAAAATATTAGAAAACCTCTGTTGCACTAAATGCTAGTATTGTAACACTTTATCTGTAACTGAAAGCTCTTCATCTCCATGTCACATTCAAATGGAGCTATCCAAGCATGATTACATAGACCAAAGTGGCTCTGTGAGTATTGGAGAAGGTCTAACTTGGATAGGGGGAGGGAGGTTAATAATGGCTGGGATTTTCAAAGATATCTAAGAATTTAGGCATTCAACTCCTGTTGGCTTTCAATGGGACTTGGTGCCTTATTCCATTAGGCCCTTTTGAAAAGTCCAGCAAATAATAATGGGTCAAATAATCACCTTTATCTCTATATGTGAAGGGTATGAAAACATCAGTTGTGTGAGGCGGGGGAAGAGAAAATGCCTATGAGACATCATACCTCCCTGTTCCCTGACCTAGCAAAGGGCTTACCACAAGGATGTCAGGTGGCTATAACACAGAAGACAGCTTGGAATGGGCCTTGGAAGGTTTGCTAACAAGGCATTGCAATCTACTATAGAGTTCGTAGAGCCTGAGAGAGTGTCCTGACTCGTTGTACCCCTTTTTCAAGTTGTGAACCTACGTTTAGAAGGACTTCCACAGCCCAGGAGAAGACCTGTTGGCAGAGCTCAAGCAGACCTAAGCTTGAGGGATGAGGTACAGGGGTCTAGGAAGCAGCATGGTACTACAGAATGGCCCTGGTCTCTGGCAGCTCCCCTGAAAGCCACCAGTTTGAGGATCATCCTGTAGAAGGGAGGGGCAAACCTAGCACCACCCAACACAATAACGTGGTTGAAATTTCACAAGGGCAACCGACCTGAATTTCCTGTCCCCTATAGGGATTTTTCCATGCTGGGGATCGATTTTGGATGAAGTTTCTACTGTAATTTAGAATGCTGCACCACGTTCTGAGCAACCTGGGCAGGAGGGATCTTATAAATAAATGGTGAATATTGGGGATTGTAAAAGGATTACAGTCCTGATCCTACTCCAGCTGAAATCAATGGCAAAGCTCCCATTGATTTCATCTGAGCTGGAGAAGGATGTAAATGAACATACTTTTTCATCTAAAAGTCACTCTAGAAGGAAAGTAACAAACACATATTTAAGTACCTTTGACCAAAAACAGCAACAACAAAAACCTCACTTAATTTCACAGATCAAGTTTGATATAATTGTTTTGTTTTCAGATTTTCTTCTTACAGATTAAAATTATTTTACTCAAATACACATACAGGGACAAGGATTTTTGCTGTACCTTAACATTCAAATTTTGTAAACGAATTTCAGGGTTTTTTTTATTGTTATGATCCCTGAATCCCAGCCAAGGAATATGCTCTTGAAAGGAAATTACTTACATATCTGCTATTTCAGCACCAGTGAGAACCTACCTGTAAATTTGCAGCCTCACGCGGTCCTCTTCCAGAAGTGGGCAGCCATTATGAATATATTTTACTTCATTGGGCAAGAAATGGCCATCAAATATCTGTTAAGATAAGTGGCATCAACAAACGGATACAAATAATTTTATGTAGTTTTATCAGTCAAATCCTGTAGGCTTTAGTCAGGAAACCAGTGGAATTTTTGCTTGAGGATTGGACTGCCAAATTGGACACATACTACACTTTCTGGATAAATTGTCCAGTTAAAATGATCACATAAGATCAAGTAAAAAAGTATTACTTACCACTGTGTCCATTATTTCGCCCACTTTCATGGGGATGTCTTGAACAGGGCCCATTCACTCTAGAAAGAAATTTTCCCTGGGGGCAGGGACCACGCAATCAATATTGGGTGACATAACTACAGGGCTTATTGCACCTTTGTCTGAAACACTTGCTGCTACGCACTGTGAAAGACAGAATATTAGACTAGATGCACCCATTGATCTGATCCTGTATGCAATTCCTATGTTCCTAATACGTATCAAACCATGTCAGGGAAAGCATCTCTCTCCCTCTTTCATTCATCATAATTCGAATGGCATTTTTGCTGGGAATTTCTTGGAAACCAGAAAGGTCTATAAAAAGCAACAAAGAGTCCTGTGGCACCTTATAGACTAACAGATGTATTGGAGCATAAGCTTTCATGGGTGAATACCCACTTCGTCACACTTCATCAGGGGCATCTGACGAAGTGGGTATTCACCCACGAAAGCTTTTGCTCCAATACGTCTATTAGTCTATAAGGTGCCACAGGACTCTTTGTCGCTTTTTACAGATCCAGGCTAACACGGCTACCCCTGAGAAAGGTCTCATTAACTTCAACGTCTCTTAGTATCTGAGCAGCACTTGGGGAAGTTCAATCTCTCAATACTTGCCCATCCCTATATCTCCCGTCGGGGGCAGGGCTTGTTACAGAGAAAAAGATGAGGCCACAGGATGGGTGTATAGGAGGAGGGGTGCAAATTGTGCAGTGAACATCAAAACTGTGAAGATGGCTCTTATAAAAGGGCTTTACTAAATAGATGGAGCAGTAAAAAATAAGTAAAGCATCGACAAATCTCCCCGGTGCAGCACAGCAGCTACCTGGGAGAGTGCAGCCATTGCTCTGCACCGGGCAGCATCCTAGGCACTGTGGCCAGAAGAGGAGAGACTCTGGCCCCGCCCCTTCATCTCCCTGACTGATGGCCCCTTGCCCCTCCCCCAGGCAGTAGGGGAGGGGCATGAGACCCTTTGGACCCCTGCCCCCCCTCCCCCCCCCCAACCACTGTGCGTCTCTCCGGGGAACACTGATTAATGTATCAGTCTAAGCTGGTCTCTCTATTGACTTCAGTTCAGATGAGCCTGCTGAAGTTAATTGCCAATGGGCTTTGGTCGAGCTGATTCACATTTCAAACAACAGAAGCAACTGGTCAGAAATCCATCTGCATTGTGATAGTTTTGATTCCCATGGGAAGGAGCACTTACCTGAGGTGCAAGTTTCCCCACTCTTTGTGTAACTGGCTCATTTAAAACCACCTCTACCTTACAAGGGTTCCTCTCTTTGGGGACATTAAAACGTAATTCATTATCAGTCACATACACCACCCGTCCCCTTTCAACACTGAAGTCTTTATTTACTAAGACAAGTTTTGCTGCTTCCCCATGTCCAAGATGCACCAGAAATATCAGAATATCCAACTTCAGAAAACTGCTCACAGCTTCCATCTTTTGGATTCAGCTATTTCCTTTTATAAGGCAAAGAAATCCAGTGGATGAAAGTAATTAATTTCTGCAGTTACCGAAGCCTTTTTCGCTCAAGAGAGGCTTGAAAGCTCTTGCAGCTTTGCAGATATTAAAGGGCGTTTTGCTTCCTTGTTTTATTTTCAAAGTAAAAAAAAATACAACCCATTTTCTCTCATGCTGTTGTGGTTTCTTGCTCCATATCACCCAGTTGCCCGATTGGCTACAGTTGAGTAGTTCACAGGTGTTGTTGGGTGTTACAGCAGCATAGTTTGCAGTTCATTTGACAAGCATTCAACAGATGGCGATCATTCCCCTGGTGTTCAAAGAGACTAAGGTCACTCTATAGGGAGAAGAAAGAGATGCTGAAGTGAAAAAGTAGCCTACAATAAAGTAAGAGAAATCATGAGATCTTTACCTCAGAAGCAGAGTGGAGACACACAATAATGGAAATGCTAGCTTGATTCCAACAATATCCAAAGGGTTGGTTGGAGAGTTGGTTTCAAGTAAAAAAGTTAATACATGGAACATAATAATTATCACAGAGCATATTGCACAACCTGCCTGCCCCCTTTCTGCATATAGGATCACCATTATTTGGTACTGTGCTCCAAGGCCTATGCAACACTTATATAGTGTTTAAATGGTACATAAACCCTCTGCACAGGGGTGAATTTCACCCCAAATGTGGCCAAACTAGTCCACTATAAAAGTAACAGCTCACCCATTGAATTTATTATAATCCTTTAGATAAGCGTATCCTAGCTTTTAAGAGTGCTTCCTATCTAGAGGTTCTTTATAGGTGGGGCTTGTCGACATGGGGATGCTCAGTAAAGTTAATCCAAATTAACTAAAATATGTGAATTACAACTGGATTAATTAAACTGCATTAAACTCCTGTGTGGAGAGACTCATTCAGAACTGAAGTGGCCTTAATTTGGTATGCCTTAATTAACAAAGCTAAACTAAACTGAGACCATTTCAGTGTTAAATGAGTGTGTTCACATAAGAGTTTAATGCAGTTTAACTAATCCAGTAGTAAATCACATCTTTTCATTAATTTGGATTAACTTCATGGCGTGTCCCCATGTAGACAGCTCTAAAAATACTACACTTCAGTTCCCATCTTCATTCTGAGTACACTCAGACAAACCATCTGTGTCATGTACCTCCATACAAAGTGGGGCTAATAATGCATAACCATTTTCATAAAGTGCTTAAAAGTCCTAGATAAGTGCTAAGCTTTGTTAATTATAGTGTGAGCTAGTGGTTATAGCATCAGTCTAGGACTCAAGCCTCCTTGATTCTATTCCTAACTATTACTGAACCCACTGTGTAACTTAAAGTAACTTAAAGACAAAGAGAGTTACAAAGAGACACCATATCAACAGTGCTAATTGCCTTAGCCATCGGGGCATCCTTTCTTTGATTTACAAACTAAAATTCATAAAATTCTAAAAAGGATCTCTAAGTAAATGTTCATGTCCTGACCCCAAAATAATTCAGGGGGCCACTCAAAGCTTGACAAGACATCTTATGTTGTGCCCCAAAGATCAGTAACCTCTGGCTCTTGTGATCCAGTGGAGAAATGTTAGGCTTTCTACTGAGAACACCCCACCGCCATTTTCTGAGTTCAGATGTTGGAACTGCCAGCAGGAGTGGTACAGCAGATCATAACCATTTTAATAGACTCTCTCAGATATGGGACTTCACACATCATAACACCACCTTGAACTGCACTTGGAAACAACACATAGCTAGTGCAGACTAAGGAGCGTTGGTGTTATATGCTCATTAGTACCCACCCCCATTCAAGAAATGAGTCACCAAATTCTAAACCAACTGAAGCTTCTATGTGCAGCACCACAAAGCGAGCATTATAGTAATGTAGTCTTGAGGTTACAAAAGCATGAATTACTGGACTGAAGTCCTAAACAGAAAGAAATGGTAAAGCCACCCTCCACACTGCATCATTTTGTGACAGCCTCAACCCAGACTGAAATTCATGCCTGCAATTTTGCCCCATGCAACTTTTGGCATGTTCAAAGCCATTTTCGCACATGTACATTGGGTAAGTATATGAGCAATTCAGAGACCACATTCGAAACTGTAGCCCACTGGCAAGTGCAAAGAAATTTTTTTCCAAGCAATTAAATCTCAGAGCTGTGGAGGTTTAACAAAGCCTGTTTTCTGTGTTCATGTATTTTATTAACAAAATCCTGTTTTCTAGTTCATGCCAAGATCTATCATACAAACATGCAAGCTTACTAGGAAGTTGTATTTAATTTAATGTGTGTTTTGAGTCTTCAGTTAAAAAAAAGGCCTTCAAAGTTGGCAATGTCCCTTCATTTCAGCTGTACATGCTTCCATTAAGAAGTCGCTACTAAAGGAAATTATTTTTCCATTTGACAGAGGAAAAGTTAGGTCTGTGCAAAATGCATGAGTGAAATTCATCCCCAGACAGGACGAACAAGCCTATGCACTGATTAAATCCCATTTAAACCCCATTTTCATCACTTAAGTGATGCATAGGCTTTTTCCTGGCTTCCACCCATAATGTACTTACTACCATGAGTGCACCCATTGAAATCAATGAGATTACTCACTGTAGTAAGCACTACTCTCAATAGTAAATCAATGAGATTCTGGCCCTATTCAAGTCAATGGAAATTTTTCCATTAACTTTAACGGAGCCAGGATTTCATGCAATATATTCAGGATTAGGCTTTTAGATTCCAATCTCACAAAGATTTATGCATGTGCTTAATTTTAAGCATGTGGGTAATCCCACTGAAGTCAAGTACATTTCAAACTTCAAAGCAATTATTATAAATTAAACAAACAAACAGTAATAAGTCACCAGGACCAGATGGTATGCACCTAAGAGTTCTAAAGGAACTCAAATACGAAATTGCAGATCTACTAACTGTGGTATGTAACCTATCACTTAAATCAGCTTCCATACCAGATGACTGGAGGATAGTTAATGTGATGTCAATTTTTTTTTAAAAGGCTCCAGAGATGATCCTGGCAACTACAGGCCAGTAAGCCTAACTTCAGTACCAGGCAAGTTGGTTGAAACTATAATAAAGAACAGAATTATCAGACACATAGATGAACACAATTTGTTGGTGAAAAGTCAACACTGCTTTCGTAAAGGGAAATCATGCCTCACGAATCTATTAGAATGCTTTGAGGGGGGTCAATGAACATGTGGACAAAGGTGATCCAGTGGATGTAGAGTACTTGAGCTTTCAGAAGACCTTTGACAAGATCCCTCACCAAAGGCTCTTAGGCAAAATAAGCAGTCATGGAATAAGAGGGAAGGTCCTCTCATGGATCAGAAACTGGTTAAAGGACAGGAAACAAAGAATAGGAAAAATGGTCAGTTTTCAGAATAGAGAGAAGCAAATAGCAGTGTTCCCCAGGGACCAGTACTGGGACCAGTCCTATTCAGCATATTCATAAATGATCTGGAAAAGGGGGTAAACAGTGAGGTGGCAAAGTTTGCAGATGATGCAAAATTACTCAAGATAGCGAAGTCCAAAGCAGACTACAAAGAGATACAAAGGGATCTCATTAAACAGGGTGACTGGGCAACAAAATGGCAGATGAAATTCAAAGTTGCTAAATGCAAAATAATGCATATTGAAAAACATAATCCTTACTATACATACAAAATAATGGGGTTGAAATTAGCTGTTACCACTCAAGAAAGAGATCTTAGAGTCATTGTGGATAGTTCTCTGAAAATATCTGTTCAATGTGCAGCAGCAGTCAAAAAAGCCAAGAAAATGTTAGGAACCATTAGGAAAGGGATAGATAATAAGACAGAAAATATAATGCCACTATATAAATCCATGGTACACCCACATCTTGAATACTGTGTGCAGTTCTGGTCACTGCATCTCAAAAAAGATACATTAGAATTGGAAAAGGTACAGAGAAGGACAACAAAAATGATTAAAGGTATGGAACAGCTTCCATATGAGGAGAGATTAAAAAGACAGACCGTTCATCTTGGAAAAAAGACGACTAAGGGGGGATATGATAGATGTCTATAAAAGCAAATAAGGACGTGTTATTTACTCCTTCACATAGCACAAGAACCAGAGGTCACCCAATGAAATTAACAGGCAGCAGGTTTAAAACAAACAAAAGGAAATTTCTCTTTGCACAACACACAGTCAACCTGTGGAACTCTTTGCCAGAGGATGTTGTGAAGGCCAAGACTATAACAGGGCTCAAAAAAATAATTAGATAAGTTCATGGAGGATCGGTACACCAGTGGCAATTAGCCAAGATGGTCAGGGATGCAACCCCATGCTCTGAGTGCCCCTAAGCCACTGACTACCAGATTCTGGGACAGGACAATAGGGGATAGATTGCTTGATGATTGCCCTGTTCTGTTAATTCCCTTTGAGGCATCTGGCATTAGCCACTGTCAGAGGACAGGATACTAGGATAGATGGACCACTGGTCTGGCCCAGTGTGGCCACTTATGTTCTTAAATTAACTTATGTTTTTAAAAACACACTAAAAATACCTTAAAGTAGGTCTACAATGCACACTTCTTTCAGCAGCATAACACCCCCAGCACAGATAGCCCAGTAAAAGGCTCTGGCAGTGGGGAGCTGCCGAAACATTTCCCCTCTGCTGGAGTGTTTCACTGACAGGTGTAGCTACACAATGTAGTATGGATGCAACTTGCTTTTCACTGCAGCTTGGCTATCCATACACTACACACCGCCAACACTGGTGTGTAGGGTAGATGTAGCTTTAGTGTTTTCTCAACATTACATATTTACACATTATACACAGATGTAATCTGTAACGCACACATAATATATTAACTTTCAGCATTTATTAAATAGCAAGATAGATGTATGATTTCCCCATCCTTCATTTTATTAATTATAATAATATGCAGATATTTGTACAATTTAGTTTGCTTTAATAGGAGGGTTTTTTAGTTCAACTTACAGTTTATTTACTAAGTTTTTCCCTACATTTTTAAAACCAGTAAAGACTAATTTTCATAAATGATATATTACAAACCAGGCCAATTGCTTGTTGTATCAGATTTGGAATGTGTTGCTATACCTTTATTCTCCTGAGCATTACAAGATTCAGTGCTGGAAAATAGTTTGCACTTCATTTGTCCATGTACTAATTTTGAATTAAAGAGGTCCACATAAATCCTTCTAAAAATGATGCAATTAAGTCTGGACTATTTGTAAAAAGGACATGTGGCTGCAATTATAATGGCTAAACATCTTGGTAACACATTGACTTATTAGTGCCATAAGTAGTTTGTGCAACACATGCTGAGTAGTCCTCAAAGGAATAAATCTTAACAGCGAGCTATGTTTTAAAATTTTAAAAATCCTGATAATTTTTAAAACTCATGATAAACTATCAGCATAAAATTTCATTACCCTGCCAGTTCTACACAGGGGGGAGACTCTCTATATGAGGAAGTGGCATGGGGCAGGAAGAGGGAGCTACCTTTGATGTACCAGTTCCCCTCTTCCTCTGGACCCAATGCTGGGAACTTTTCAGGTCTATGATCTACTCTGGGGCTCGGGACATTCCTCCCTGAAAGTTGGTAGAGTCCCAGGAGCACCTATGGCTACTGACTGGGAGTGGATACCAAGGAACCATACCTGTTTGGTTTTTGATTTCACATTTGAGCAGTCACTTACCGTTTTGCATACATTTACTGTATTTAGGTTGCAGTCTTATCAGGGGAGCACTTAGAAGTCCCATCAAGACTGTGATCTCATTGTGTTAGCCAACATACAAGCATAAAGCAAGAGTCAGGCTGAGCCAAAAAGCTAAAGCCCTGAATTTCAGCAAAGCACTTAAGCACCTACTGCAGTGGGAGTTAAACACATGCTTAAGTGCTGAACTGGGTCCTAAACAGGTAAGAGAGAAAAAGAAAGGAAAAATTATCAGCCCCAATATCTATTTTCAAATTTGCCCTTTCTTAATTTATTTCTGATGTCCCAATCTTTGCTGTGTGTGTCTATTAAAGGACTGAACCAAGAAATGTATTTTGCTATTTGTATTTTGCAATTTGAGCCAAGAGTGATTCAGTTTTGAAAAATGGTTACTTTTGTTATCTGCTGTATGATATTGTAATGTTGCATAGAAGTATGCCATGTATACACTACTATAGTGTGAAATTCCTCCAGCTATGGCTGGTCTTCTTTATCTCTTGCTAATCTAGTATGACCACCATCATCTTGGTCAACATCAGGGACTGAACTAGGGACATCCAGAACTAAAAGCACAAATTTGTATTGCTTGGGCTAAAGGACCAGCTCCTGAAGCTAGGAGTTGTAAAAGGCTCTCGTCTTCTGTAGGCTCACATCTTCTAAAAGGCTCACATCTTTTGAGACCGTAGGCCTTCTACATCATCTCTCTCACATTGGAATATTGGCAAGGTGGCCATGTGAGAAGGAGACCTGAAGATGTTATAAATGGCAAGAGTTTTCTAGGCCTCAGACCTTGATGGGAAAATTCTTTACTACATGAGAATGACATATGCACCAGGAATCTTATTTGTAATATTTCAAGTGCCTACTGTTGTTGTTTTTTTAAATTGCAGTCCGAATGAGATACAAGGAGAATGACATAACATGAATCATTAAACATTAACTACCTATCATCTCTCGTTTACTATTGAGTGATCAACTCCCATCTCCAATCGGGTCCATGATACCAGCTTCCATCACCCCCTTGTTAAATTTTCAAACAAGCACCCTCATGATTTCTCCCATACAGTTCCACACACTTGGGAGGAGCTCTCCATAAACGTTCCACAAAGATACCTTTATCCTCCTCCTCAGGGCCGGCTCTAGGCACCAGTGTTGCAAGTATGTGCTTGAGGCAGCACCTTTCAAGGGGCGGCATTCTGGCCCTTTGGGGCGGCACTTTGCTTCGGCCGCAGCACTCTGGCTTTTTTTTTCTTTTGCTTCAGCAGCGGCACTCCGGCTTTCTTTTTTTTTTGGCTTGGGGTGGCAAAAAACCTGGAGCCAGCCCTGCTCCTCCTTCAAACTCTTCTTTGCTGTAATTCCTACAAAAAAAACTTGACAACAGTTAGGCTGCTGGTGTGCTGAGACCGCTGCCTATTGTGCCGAGCAATATTATCTCCCTGTTTCTTTGTTCTTCCCATCTGTCTGTATTTACCTGTTATTGTCTCATACTTAGATTGTAAGGTCTTTGGGGCAGAGACTGCCTTTTTTCTGCATTTGTACAAGGCCTATCCCAGGGGGTTCTGGTCCATAACTGGGGCTCATAGGTGCTATGGTAATATAAATAGCAAACAATCACCCCCAACATCTTATCTATAGCATCTGCAAATGTAAAGACAAAAGTAACTGGAAATCTCATTTGCCTTTCAACCCTCAATCCTTCTGGTTCTCTGCTTTATTCTCTAACATTGTAGAAAAAGCTTATTTTCTTCATTACATGCCTTTCACTGAACTAGATCAGAAAATCCTTCTAATCTCCAAAGGGCTCATTTCCTTTAGAATTAAGACACTGAGTCAGTTGTTTCTTTAGCTCCAGTGACCTTTCTTTCCCCACTAGCTAGGGGGCTTGATTTTTTCCACAGGAGAACATGTAATATAAACATAATCAGTCCTTTCAATTCATGTAGTTCTTAGCTCCAGCAACAGCTTCCTTTACTTTGAGATTTTCTGATAGAGACTCTTTCTAAAGTAACATCAGGCCCATAGCAGAAGTGTGTGTGTGTGGGGGGGGGGGGATTAAAAGACCTTAAATCCTAACATTCACATAATGCCAAGATAAAAATGCACCTGGACCTTGTCATTGAAAATTAATATAAGCCAAGGTATGGGATACCCTGCTGCTAATTAACAGAGTCCTATTAGATTCCCCTTTCCCCTTACACTAATTAGTTTAGGAGGGAAATTCACACACACACACACACAGATAAAATATCCACAGGACTCCATTGTTAAGAACAATACTTGCAGGGGGCTGGGTAAATGTGTGTGTGTAATTTTAAACACCTGATTGCCTGAAGCATGCAGGTGTGGGAGAAATGTTGACTAAGTAGTGCAAGTCTTTAAAACTGCCATCAGTTTGCATGATAATTCAGATTTCTCATTAGTAGTATGAATAATTTATCTGCAGCCTCATAAACCAGGAGAATGATATTTTTGTTGTCTACTGAACTAGCAATGGGGTCACTTGCCACCAAAAAGAGAGAGAAAATTCTAAACAATAAAATCTGCCATTTTAAAGCATCATCATTCCTTGCCAGAACTTTCAGCTGTTTTGTAAAGACACCAGTTATTCTAGGACAGGACATTCCTTTCCATAACCTAGAGAAAGCTTCACAAAGCATTTAATAAGTTTTTAAAAGCTGTTCTTGCTTTAATTTACCCCCATTTGCTTCAAATAACAGTTGCAGTACGTACTGATTTAAAAAAAAAATAGTATTAGTATTTAAACATTTTCTAAAATGGATTTCAAGTTAGCTTGAGGAAGTTTGAAAGTCCTGTAAGGAATAAATATTGCTTCTAATCTTTCAAAGCACAAACTGTAGCATTAGTGTTATCTGCTCTTGCCAAATGTAAAAAGCATAGTGGTCTTTAGGCACCCAGCAGTGTTTCTTGGAAGGACAATGAAAGAGTGAATGGCAAAAGCCTGCCAAAAGGAAAATCAAAGCCATACCTGCAAGCTGCAATACAGCTCTAGGAATCCCTTCAGACTTTTCTTTTCATGTGTTTGAAACTGAAACTTTTCAAAATGCTGGTATGGTTCCTTAAAGTCACTTTACTTCTTAAAACCAAACAACTTGGGAGGGGGGAGAGAGAGAGAAAGAAAGAAAGAAAGAAATAGGCATTAAATGTAATTGTCCCAAAGCAATCTCTTCAGAGGAAAAGAGCCTTAAAATGCAGGAAATCTGTCTAACCCTCTAACTATTCCCACTCAAGCTGCCCCGTAGTCACAGATGTTACTGATTCAGTTAGATAGCAATTCCAAGCTCCCAAAACAGATTCCAAGTGAGAAAATAGGAAAAGCCATTGGTTGCTATTAGATACGCATTCTGAAGAAAAAAGCAGTATGGGCAGTGAGGAATTTGTGGCCTGGATTAGAGGTTCCATGGTAATTAAAGAGTAATGACAAATAGGATATCCATTGACCTACTGAATGCAAAGCCAAGGAGGTGAAAAACTCAGGCTGCACTGCAAATTTGTAGGGAAACATGTCAAATCTTTCTACTGAGATTTACCAACAGAATTTAAAAAACTCAAAGTAATATGGTTTGAGGAAATAGGATAGGGTTCTACTGAAATTACACTAAAAATCTAGACAATTTAACAGCAAATGCTAAACCTGCTAGAACAGTTTAAAAAAATCTTCTATAGAATTCTATAGCAGAGATATTATTTTCTGAGACATTTTAGTGTGGTCTCAAAAACAAACCAAAGAAAACAAAGGGATAAGCTGTTTTCGGTGAAACTGTGTAACACTATTCCCTGAGGACTGCCCTGTAGCGCAATCATTTCTTTTTACAACTGGGCCCCATTTTTATCAAAGCAAAAGAGAATAGGCCCAACCATGACATGTTTCCAGGACAATATATATCAAATCTTACTAAAATGATAAAGTATATGCATTTATAATAGTCTTGCCATGACACGTTTCAATGAGATAGACAAGTATGTCTGTGTGCATAATTAGCATGAATTATAGCTATTATAATAACCCCTGATGACACAAAGGCCCCACTACATAGTGAGAGACAATCCATGCCCTAAAGAGCTCATAATGCAAATAGTCAAAGGACAGGCGGGGAAAGAGAGTGGTAGAAGGACTGATTCGAGGTCACGCAGGAGGAAGGAAGAAGAAGAGTGGGATAGAGCAGAGTCCCAGTCCAGTACCCTATCCACTAGAGGACACTGCTAACGCTGATGTGGTAAAACTGACCGACACTGGAATCTACAAGATACTGACGAGGAAGGAGGAGCTGAAGGGCTTTCCTTCAGAGCCCCTATCCTTCCGTCTGTTCCCAAACTCGGTTTCTCTCTCACACACACACACCCAGCAAAGCCAGCCACTTCCTTCACCTCCCTCATCATCTCCACACTTTGGAGAGCACTGAAAGTGGAGTATGGGAAAGTCTCTCTGCCCACAGTGCCAGCATCATAGCGGCTTCTGGCAGCCGTGTAGGGAGTGACTGTAGGAGAAACCCCGATGGTCCCTGCAGCCCTGCTGGATACATGAGAGAGAGACACGTGTTGGAGCTGGAACAAGCACACAGGGAATTTCATAGAAAATCCCAGCAGCCAACTGAATTTTCTTATCATCAAGATTGTAAATAAAAAAAGACAGACAAGCTCTCAGGCCCTACTCAGACACTGTCCAGTCCCCATCAGTGCAGCCAGGCCCTTTAGTCTAAGGAAACCAGCTCTAGCTCCCTAAGAGTATCTTTAAATAATGGGCCAAGTACTGACCTCACACCGGTTTTACATGAGTATAACTGTATTGGCTTTAAAGGAGTTATTCCTGATTTACACCTGTGTGAAAAACTGGCCCTACGATGATCAGCTTCAAAACAAATCTAACTGTTTTTTGACAGCAGTGGTGTTTTATATACTGTCCTTTTAAAAGAGGAATTGATAGTCCCTGTCAGGAAGGGTTTCCCTAACTCCCAATGCAGAGTTCACTTTACTCATGTGAAGCTCAGCGATCAAAGACAAAGATCCTCTCATGGCACGGCCTTTGGGATAAACTGTGCCAGTATATTACAGTCCTGCTCTGGCTAATGTAATTGGCTCTGAGATCCTGATCTGTATGAAATGAAGTTTTATTTTTGTTGCGTTTCATATTTCCAATCACCAGCTGAGGAAACAAAGCTTTACAACATTGTAGGTATTAATTTGGTGGGGAGGCATATACGCAAGCTCTAGGTGCCCTGGCAATTAGCTAAATTTACAGTTCAGTTGGAATGAGTGCAGCATAACAATCCTCCTGCACAATAAAGCAATTTAACTTGACCAGCCAGTATATAAAGCAACATGTTATACCCCATTCCACCCAACTCAAAATCTCATGCCATCAGCCTTCCTCTTAAACTGTAAGTTACTTTTTTATTTATTTATTTATTTATTTTTTAAGAAAACTCCCAGAAAAATCAGTAGATTTGGACAGTTTTATACCAAGGAGGCGGAGGGACAAATGCCAGAGCCAAGGCATATTTGCAGAATGTTCTGTTGACTGTCCTGTAATGAGAACGTTTTTACCGAGTGACTCCACGGAGTACAACGGCAGCAGTATGGTACAAGAGCATTCTGTGGTACTTTTCTACAGGTTTAAAAACAGATGATGCACTCACCGAAAACAACTTATAAGGTATTCAAACTTCAGTGCCTAATTCACTGCACCTCTCAGTTATTTTAATTGTACCTGAATATTTCTGATGGGAAAACACCAGAAATAAACTGCTTGTGAATAGTTCACTGATTTAGAAACTAGTTTATTATTCACTCATCATGAATATTCATGTGGCTGTTTGGTTTGCAAAAATGTTTACACAAGTCAGATTTCAGACCTGTTGCCAAGGTATTTTTTAATCAAGAAAAGAAATTTTGTTTTATGGCAAAAAAGAAATTTGTTTTGAGCAGAAGAGGAACTAGTATAATCAGATTCCAACTGGTCACCCAGCTGCAGAACAAAAAACAATGCCATGTGACTGGATCACAGATGGGTAACTGTTTGGTTTCAAGCTAAACTATTGGGAGAGCTAGTGGGGCAACAAAGCTAAATACTCTGCCACAATTTACTCTGCCTTCCTGAAGTTCATTACTTTCTTGAAGGTGTAACAAAAAAGAACAAATATGACGGAGAATAAAGTAAACATCCTTGGCTATTATAAGCCATAGAGACCGGCAAACTTCAAACGGTTCAGAAGATTGCCACCCAACATCAGACTGCACGTACTGAAATCTCGTTCAAAAGTCCTTCTCATGAGAGTCCCAGTGTTTTCTGATTTAGGTCAGGCTGGGATATCCTGCACAGACAGGTCTTCCTTCTGTAGACTCAATGCCTTGGAAACACATGTACTTCACTTAATACAAATGGATAGCTATATTTACTGCAGTGAAACTACTTGTGCACATAAAGATAACCACATGCATGAGTGTTTAGAGGATCAGGACCACATTTTGCAGCTCTAACTTCTACTCCCAGACAGAACCCAAAAGTACAAAGAAAGATGAGAATATAAAGATAACAAGATAAAATGTGACTCTAAAAAAACCCCCCAAAGAGTTCCATTTAAATTTGAGACAAGGGTACAGAGGGGATTCTAATGTTAGACGAGTCATTTCACTCATCCTGAGATGCAATGGAGCGAATCCCTGGCAACTTCTGAAGGATTAATAACTCCCTTTCTCTGAAAAAGCTATACAATGAGAGAGCTGGATTTCTGGACAAGGAAACAGCTGCCAAAATAATTGGTTTAAAACCTGTTAATTAAAGCTCAATGCAAGATTCAAACCAAGGCAGGCAAAGCACACAGCCATATTCTTGTTTACCCATTAACATAATAAAGTGGACTTAAAGGCATTTGGGGATGAAGAGAGAAAATGTTCAAAGGGGCACACTGGGATTAATGGGATGAGATAGACAAGGAACACTGAGATGGAATATCATGAAAACCTTTCTGACATTGAGATGTATTAGGCTGTAGAAGATTCTCTCAAGGAAAGTGGAAGAAATCCTTTGACTTGGCACACAAAATTAGACCGAATAAAATATGAGAATGTATTGTATGGAACAGTCCTGCATTGGCAGAAGATCGAACACATAATGATTATGGATTATTCATTTTGATAACACCTCTATGATAGGTAGACACTTTACCGGCAGGTATGAAAACAATGCCCCCCCCCACCCAAAGCTCAAACTATACAGGGATGGATTGCAGACCATTTAGCCAGAGCCTGGCAGGTGGGAAGGGAAATAGGGCCAAAACTGCCCCAAGAGAGCACATTAGGAGTCATGACACCTTCCAGAATTCCAAGGGGAAGGCACAATCTGCATCATCCCTTGGGATGATGAAGTGTGCTCCTTTTTCCATACCCAGCCAGCTCCATTGGCCACTGTGGAGGGAGGGGTAAATGTAGGGCTGTTCCCATACTCCCTACCCCTTTTAAGAAGATTAGCACTGGAGGAAAGAGCAGTCTTCTAAGCGCAGGGTCTGCAAATGCCTATGGTCCTCGGCCCGTAATGTACAAACAAGGGATGGGACTGGTAAGCAATAAAGAGCAATTACTGAGCCATGATACAGAGCCTCTCTTGTTAATTCCAGAATTTTCATATCAATATTTTCTGTTTTATTTATATATTATTTATAGCTATTTGATGAACTGCCATCAGTTAGATAACACTTCTCTTTGAGGGGTCTTGGAGTGAACAGGAAGAGCTATCTTCTATGATTATTTTTGTTAATATTGTTTATAGAGCTGGACAAATAATTTGTGAGTATTCGTGAATATACAGGCAACATTTTTCAAACAAAATATTTTGAATGATTTTCCCCTATTTGCCCAGCTTTAAACTGGGTGAATAATTGGGAAAAAGAAACCTCTTCATTTATTGGAAACGTAGCATAAAATGCATTGCGGCCATTATCTCACAGATGCTTATTTGATGAGTTTTAATGGTGTGGCTGAAAGTGTGTAGTACACAGAAAGTAGTGGGAGAACGGAAACAATGGTGACAGATTTCTTGATTTGATAGAGTGACTAACCTGTCATTGGAAAGCGGATTAGTTACCGACGGAATGATCTCTGGCAAGGAAGCAGATCAACCATACAGATATTAATGAGGCAGAAGACATGCCAGGATTGGATGAGATTCACATAGATACACAGAAGAATTAGCTGCTGAGCCACAGGTGTTATGTATTCAGGGCCTGGGGCACTGGTTAGATGCACAGTTCTACCAGCATCAGCAGGAGAAAAGTTTGACAATGCATTTGGTTATTTTTCCTATGTCATATAGATTCAAAACACTATATGAAAGAACAGTAGAATGGCAACATTGTCAGTAATTGTTCATTACCATGTGT